GCTGGGACCACAGGCGCCCGCCACAACGCCCGGCTATTTTTTTTGGTTGCAGCCGTCATTGTTGTTTGGCGGGTCCAGGCTGGATTCAAACCCGCCACCTTAGGTGTATGTGGCTGGCGCCTTAGCCTCTTGAACCACAGGCGCCGAGTCAATTAAAAATTTTTAAAAGAAATCTTTTTAAAAGAAATATGCTATTTATTACAATGAATTCCTCACTTGATGTGTCCAAAAGAAGTAACTGGAGATGCTGATGTACAGAAGGGTACTAATTAAAAATTAAAAATTTGGGGCGGCACCGGTGGCTCAAAGGAGTAGGGTGCCAGCCCCATATGCCAGAGGTGGCGGGTTCAAATCCAGCCCTGGCCAAAAACTGCAAAAAAAAAAAAAATCGTAATGGCAGCCAGGCAAGGTGGCTCATACCTGCAATCTCAGTGTTTGGAAAAGTCCAAATGGAGGATCACTTGAGGCCAGGATTTCAAAACAAGCCTGGGCAACACAGTGAGAATGTATCTCTATTTTTTTTTAATTAGCAGGGCAGGCTCCGCACCTGTAGCTCAAGTGGCTAAGGGGCCAGCCACATACACCAGAGCTGGTGGGTTTGAATCCAGCCTGGGCCTGTCAAATGACAATGACAACTACAACCAAAAAATAGCCAAGCACTGTGGCAGGCACCTGTAGTCCCAGTTACTTGGGAGGCTGAGGCAAGAGAATCTCTTAAGCCCTGTAGTTGGAGGTTGCTCTGAGCTGTGGTACCATGGCACTCTACCAAGGGTGACAGCTTAAGGCTATGTCTCAAAAAAAAAAATTAGCAGGGCAACAAAATAAACCCAAAACAACAAAAACAAAAAAATTAGAAGGACATCCTGATAAGCTGGTCTTCCTAGCTAAAACTGAAAGGCTGAAGCGGGAGGATCACAACCCAAGATTCAGGGTTTTAGTGAGCTATGATCATGCTACTGCACTCCAGCCTCAGTGACATAGCAACTCCGTGCCTCTGGATCAGTCACGTACATTAGAAGTACATACAAAATAATAATCACCACTGGGTGGGTGGTAAAAGGGGGTATTTTAGGCAATATTATCTCCCCACCCCTCAAATCTTACCTGTCCAATATCTCTGAGACTTGCCAGTGGAAATTAACTAATATAAGTTTAGCAACTGAATGAGATACCTAAAAAGAAAAATGAGAAAAATAAAATTATAACCAGTTTCTTTCAGGGTACTATACATTTTGAGAAATAAATAAATTAATGTCTATACCAGGCCTAGGCTTGATTCTAAATTCCTCTTTTGGTTCTCTGCTTTGTCTTTTAAGTTCAGACTCTTTTTTTTTTTTTTTTTTTTTGAGACAGAGCCTCAAGCTGTCCCCCTGGG